AAATAAATAAATAAAATAAAAATAAAAATTCAGTATTTAAAAAATGCAGCCTCTCAAAAAACCGGCATTTAGTCATAGCAAAACTCATGTGAACAAACTGTACTTTTCCTCCTCAGATATAAATTGTGATCCAAATCAATTATATTTCTGGCCGTTTGTGCTTCAAATTAATTTAAATATGAAATATCTGACCAATGCACTTCCTTTTCCAGCTGTTTCCTTCTTACATATGGGTGTGACTTAAATACTTTAAAATGAGGGAGGAATTATGCTTTTAAAAGAATTAGTTGTTTTAACCGTAGCTACACACATCAATATAAAATGAAGACCACTTTTGACTTATTATATGAACATCTTTGGGATTATTTGGTTGGGAACCGGAGATATTAACATTTTAAATACTGATGACTTGTCCCTGTAGTTTTTGAAAAGCAAAAGCCTGGACTTTAAGACCTGAATTCTTTTTTAGGTAGCATTCACACAAAATGAACCATCAGCACCGAGGCACCAGAACCTTCGTGGTGTTGTGCAATCCCCGCCTCCTGCTAGGTCCAGAGCACTTGTGCTAGCTCGAGCTGAAAGCCCAGTGCCCACGAGGCAGGGACTTGTCTTCTTTCATCCCTGTAACAACTGGAAACTTACCTGGAAAATCAGACAGTTTTTCTTCAACGCCTAGCTTCCTTATAGCATGGATCTGAGGCTATTGCTTCAGTACTTTAGCTGCCCTCCCAATTTGTCTTATTTCGCTTTCTTAAAATCACATGCTTAAAAGACCTTGAAAGGGGCATCTTTCGCATCCCTCTTCACTCGTTTAAGTTTTTCACCAAGAGACATTGGAATCTGCTGTGACTCTGTTGGTGTTTGGGATGGAACATCTGGGGAGGGCACAGGAGCTCCTTGGGACTAGTCAGTCCTCATGGATTAGAGAATCTGGGACACACAGACCCCCCCCCCCCATGGGTCACCTGCATCGCTCCTGCTGCATGCCAGCACTGTGACTTCTTGGTCATTTCTCTGAGGACTGTTGCGTGGTCCCTTTCCCCTGAGCCTGGCGCTTTCTCCATTTTGCTTGCAGATTATGCACTATCTTAGCTACTACATAGACGCCTTGTAGGGCTGGGGAGATGGCTCAGTAGAATAAGCGTTTGAGGCCTTGTAAACAGATACTGCATCACTGAACAGGCATTACTTTAAGGCTGCACAAGACTATTTCTATACCAAAATTAAGTATGGAGGTTCTTATTAGGAATCTGTGGCAAAAGCAGTTTTGCCCCTTTTCTGACCAAAGGATCTAAAAGAGTACTAGTGTCATTTTGGTAAATGCTGGTCAAGTTCAGAATGGGAGGCAGTAATTATGTCCTAACAGTACGGTGGAGAGGGTACCTGAGAGGGCCCTGTTCAGTTTTTTGCAGTCAACATGAGACTTCTGGGTTTCTCTACCACAGTTGACAGGAAGGAGAGTGGCACCTGAGATTTCATGTCACCTCTCCACAGACCTTACTGGGCCTGCCCTTTGGAAGCAGATAAAATGGGCCCAAGTACCACCATCATAAGGTGGCCCAGAGGCTCCTTTCATATTCCAACCTCATGACATTTTCCTCTCCAACTTTCCACCTGCCACTGGCTGCAGCGCTACTGCCTGATGATGGGCTTCCTGACCCTGGTTGTTCCAGTTTAAGGTTTTTGTTTCATGGCAGCCAGTGTCCCAAGATTGGAATTCGCAACAGATCTTTTTAGTGGATGAGAGGAGAGTAGGATCTGGAATGTTCCATGAATCTATATGCTTTTGTATGCTAGGCCTTTCTAGTCTTCTTATGGCCATCCTTCTACTTAAGGATTTTCAGGGATGAAGCAAGCACATGCCTCTTTCAAAAATTTTACTTTAGAAAATTCCAGTCATTACAATTTTTTTTCATGTACATAGAACAAGAACTGTCTTTATGGATGTTCTGCCTTTGGTCTGCATTTTGGAGTCATATTAAAAGGCAAATCCTCGGGTTGGATCCTGGCACCACATCCATCCTGACCCTGCCTCCGGGTGTGCTGAGCCAGCCCCTGAGACCGGGCATGGTGGCACATGCCTGTAATCCTAGTGCTGGGGAGGCTGAGACAGGAGGATCACTATGAGTCTGAGCTGTGTAGTGAGACCCTGTACCAAAGACATTTAAAAAAAGCAAATCCTTTTCTATGTCTGTTAGTATAAAGATATTACTTAGAGATCTGTTATAGTATTTGAATTGAATAATCATTTATTGAGTGTTCACTGAGTTCCAAGGACTGTTGTAAGTGTTGGGATATAACAGTAAATGAAATAAAGTCCCTGCCTTTATGCAGCTGGAATTCTAATGTTGGAGTGAGATAATAGAGGGAAAAAAAAGAGAAAGAAAAGAAAAAAAGCTGAATTAAGACAATGTCAGGTGGTGATAAACAATAAAAAGAAATAAGAGAAATAATGATAAAGAGAAATAATTCAAAAGGGTATTATCGTACCAAAGTTAGGAGGCGCCCAATAATATAGATAGTGCAATACAGGTACCACAGAATCTTGACTCAGTTAAAATTTCATATTAAATCCCATGAACAAAAGTATAAAGCTAGACTGTGCTTTCCAAGTGAGTTGCAGATTTTTGAGCATGAGGTGTATCTCTTTCTCTTTCAGATCATGACGTGGCATCCGGAGATGGAAATTCTGTGACAGAAGAGACCAAGAAGAAGAAAGCTGCAAAGTTGCCTATAATGAAATGGTTGAATCCGCGCTGATCCTGGGGCGGATTTCCAAGGGAAGGCGCGCAGTGATGGTTCAGTACCCTGCCCACATTTTAAGAACTATCTAGATTAGAGCACACGGACGTGTAATTTTTGGAGATCGAGTAAGCCTTAGGTGGGCCCAGCCACAAGAAATAGACTACTTAAAAATGCGTAAAATGCATATGGTCCATTCGATGAGGGTGAGGTATTGTGATATTTGGATCTTCCCTGTGGTAAATTCAATAGAATTTAATTATTGTGATTATTATTTACTTTGGAAAAAGTCAAAGCCCCAACCAGAAAGTCATGAGGAAGTGGGATGTTTGAAGCTGGTGGGATTTGAGTAATAACCTTGAGCTGAGGTCCATTTCAAAGGGCTGCTAATGTAGTTCTCAGGCCCCCTGGATCTGAAGGCTGGGTCTAAGGCAGAGGGCAAACATCCACTTCCAGGAGTGGTTTGCACAATACCACCTTGAGATGGGGCTGGGATGTTCTCCACCTATGGGGGGGTAGAGATAAATATTTATATATTTTTATTAAAAAAATGTGTTAGTACAAGTCACCTTCCATACCCATGTTTATAACTCTCTTGAGGAAATGAGCTCAATTTCTTAAATGATTAGAAAGGTTTAACTCTGTAAGATCTTCAAACACTGTATTATATTTTAATAATATTAACAATAAGATGCATAAGAGAAAGTTAAAAAAAAAACCTAGTAACTGAACTTACAAAATTCTAAAAAATGAGCAATGAAGGGAATTTACCTACAGAAAATGTTATGACTCAGATACAATTTAAATTTAAAGTAGCGGATGATTTTGTTAGGGGTTTGGAAAAGAGTCAGTTCCAGCAGGAAACCTACCCACTTGAAAATAGAGGCTATTTTCATAGTTTTTCTTTCAAAGGTGATTGGGAAATGGAATCAGAAGTATGCTATCTTAGCCCAAACGGAACTGGTGTACTATATGCGGTTAGGAAATATTTGCGGAAATATTTTATTTGGAATCGAGAATTTATTTAAGAATTATTTCAGTATTTACCTATATTTTATTCTTCAAGTTTGCCAACAGAGTTGTGGATGTGTGTGTGGGAGGATCTCTGAATGTAAGCTGAATAAGCTGTTTTGTTTTAAAAGGGCAAATTTGCTACTGTTCAATAAAAAACAAGACACAGCTACTCTACGTTTACTGATTTCTTTGAATTGTTAAATCTTATAGTGAATAAGAACTCTTTCGTGCACGTTATAGGATGAGTATTTCAACTGAGTCTCCTGCCATAAATAAGCTATTGTTCATATAAAAAGGCCAGAATGTTTCTTTCTTTGCTTCATGTCTTTGGTTTACTCATTATTTCGATCCTCCTAAAAAACTGAAACCGATGTATTCATCCATTTAGAGAGTCTTTATTAATCTGTTTTAAATTTTTTGGGGGCCGGGGAGATGGCTCAGTGGAATAAGCCCTCGCCTGGCAAGCGCTGTGGCCTGAGTTTGATCCCCACTTCTGCAAAGAAAAATAAATGTTTTGTATTCATTTTTAAACAACAAAAAATAAAGCCACCTACTGGAGTCACGGACTGGCTATAGGGCTACACTTTGAAATAACGGCTTCTAGGTCACTGCGTGATGGCCTCGATGACTCGTTCATATAGTGCCAAGATTCTGAACCTGGGCGCTGGAAAGATAGCTCAGGGCATGGTGGAGAATGTCGGAAATTCCAGGGCTGGGGAGGCTGAGACAGGAGGATCACTATGAGTCTGAGCTGCGTAGCTAGACCCTGTACTAAATGAGTGAGTGAGTGCGTGAATGAATGAATGAATGAATGATTCTAGACTTGGTTTCTCTCTTTGTATTATAATTTTTTGGTACTAGAAATTGAACTCAGGACATCAAGCTAACTCTCTAGCTGTTTCTTTTGTTTTCCTTTCCCTCCTCCCTTCCTGTCCCCTCTGCTTCCCTTTCTTCTTCTTTTTCTCATTTTCCTCTTCCTCCTCTCTCTCT